AAAAAAAAAAAAGAAACAAAAACAGATGAACATAAGGGAAGGGAAACAAAAATAATATAAAAACAGGGAGGGGGACAAAACAAAACAGACTCATAAATATGGAGAACAAACTGAGGGTTGCTGGAGGGGTTGTGGGAGGGGGGATGGGCTAAATGGGGAAGGGGCATTAAATCATTGCTTCACTATATACTAACTAATTTGGATGTAAACTTTAAAAAATAAAAAATTAAGTTAAAAAAATTTTTTTTAATGTTAAGTCACTCGTAAAAAAAAAACAGATCCATCTATATGGACACAATGTAATTGGTATTGCATATCGCTGGTATTAATCAAGTGACTAACATTGAAAAAAATAAGATGCTACTCCTATTTTACACCATGCACAAAAATCAGGTCCAGGTATATTGTAGATCTAAATGTAAAAGGTAAAATAATTAAGCTTCTCAAAAGTAAAATACTACGGTCGTTTTCACAGTGTGATCCCCAGACCAACAGAATCAGCATCATCTGGAAATTGTAAGAAATGCAACTTCTTGGACCTCTTTCCTGACCTAAAGAATGAGAAACTCTGGAGAAAACGTGAGAAACATGAGAAAATTCTTAGCACAAAAACACAGGAGACAGGCAGAGTGGCTGCAGCTAGATTCTCTAACCAGTTGCCTTTGCAACAGCTGGGCTGAGGACGCGTGAGGCAGGACACAGGAGGTGCCTGAAACCAAGTTTGTATAAGCAAACAAACAAAAGATATAATATATACACAAAGTCAATGAATTCTTTCATAGGGAGACTTCAAGACCGCCGGTCTGTTCAGTAACTAACTCCCAGTGACGTCTAGTGGTGAAATACAGACATTCACCACCGTCAAGTTCCCACACTTCAATAGTGTCTAAAGAGAGTCCCCACCGAGAATTCTATGCTGTTCAGACTCACCGGTTCTGAATTAAAACCTCAGTGCCTGATGTGGACAGTCACCTGCAGTGACATCTGTTCATCTGCTGGGATCCTTATCTGAACCCATCACTTTAAGGAGAGAAGGCAAACATGACCTGGTACCTTGGAAGTGAACTACATTGATGTGGGGAGCTTTGTAGTAAGACTTTGCCGTAAGCAGAGGATTTTATCTAACTGTGGCTACTTCCCCCATATTTTTTCCCACAGTTACAGTTAGCCTTAAATGAGATCTCTTTTTCACATTTGTAATCTAAAAGTCCTAATTTCTCTGGCTTTGGAGAGGCATTCTGCTTAAATCTCCGAATTAAAGTATCTATGAAAAAGTATACCACGTAAATTCCATTAGGCCAGTTTAATTCCCTTATTTTAAAACCACAATGAAATGATTTCTTTTTTTTCCCCAATTTTATTTATATTTTATTTAAACAAAATATTATATTTATATTTTATTAAATATAAATATATTTATATTCACTGGATCAACTCTTTTTCATATGAAAAAAATATATGTACATGGTAAAAGGTAACTGGCAATTCAGAGGTTGAATTTTACCTGTAAAGGATTTGCTTCTGTGGTTTTTCTTTTATAGCCATTATTCACACCAAAATGGAACTTTTCCGGGGCGCCTGGGTGGCTCAGTCGGTTAAGCGGCCGACTTCGGCTCAGGTCACGATCTCGCGGTCCGTGAGTTCGAGCCCCGCATCGGGCTCTGGGCTGATGGCTCAGAGCCTGGAGCCTGCTTCCGATTCTGTGTCTCCCTCTCTCTCTGCCCCTCCCCCGTTCGTGCTCTGTCTCTCTCTGTCTCAAAAATAAATAAAAAACGTTAAAAAAAATTATTTAAAAAAAAATTAAAAAAATTAAAAAAACAAAATGGAACTTTCCCAACTGGAATTGTACAGATCTAAATATTATTATATACAGTTTTAGCCACTATAAATTTTCTTTTGTGTTGGTTTTGCTGCTGTTTACGTTTATTTTAAAATTTAGATGAAGCAAAAATAGTTGAGCTCATTGATTTCCATTTTAATGAGATAATCCATGATCTTCCTTTGTCCCAGATTAGTTTATTATGTTGCTAATTGGGCTGTGTACTTTGCAGACTGTATACTACCTGGGCAGGTTCTGGGCTGAGAAAAGAGCCCGCAACAGGAGTAAATGTTCTCCATTATATAAATTATCATGTCACCTACAAACAAAGAGAGCTAAGCTTCTGGTTTGACAGTTTGTGGCTGTAATTTCTTTCTTTGCCTTATTAGCTCTTAGTTAATAAGGATGGGACAACCAGTGCAATGCTGAATACAGTCAGCATTTCCTGGCTCCGATCTTAGAGGAAAAGCATACAATGTCCCCATTTAGTCTGGTGTTAGCTGGTGACGCCCTTCATCAAATTGAGAAAGTTCTCCTTTATTCCTAGATTACTGGAAGTTTTTATCATGAGGAGGTGGTGGGTGTTTCAAATGTTTTACCTGTATCTGTTGAAATAATATGATCACCCTCCTATATTCTGCCAACATGGCGAATTCAAATGTTCGATTTTCAAATATCAAGCTGATCGTCCTCATCTGGGGTAAACCCCACCTGTTCAATACACTGCTAGATTTTATTAAATTGTGTTAAGGGTTTTTGTGCCTGAGTTTATAAGAAATATTGGTGTTAATTTTTCTTTTCTTATCATTTCTTTGTAAGTTTTTCTTATTAGGGATACACAGAGATCATAAATAGGGAACTTTTTGCTTTTAATCCACATTTTCAAATATATTGGCATAAAGTTTTCCTACAAGTCCCACTATATTCCTTTAATAAGGATGTGTGGTAATATCTTTTTATACTTAATACGGATCATTTGTTTTTTCTCTCTCTTGTCTTGATCATGTTGGATAAGTATCAATTGAATTAATCTGTTGGGTTTACTTTGTTCTGTTCTTGCCTCTTTTCTTTTCTTTTTTTTTTTTAACGTTTATTCATTTTTTTGAGAGACAGAGAGAGAGCGAGTTGGGGAAGGGCAGAGAGAGAGGGAGACACAGAATCCAGAGCAGGCTCCAGGCTCTGAGCTGTCCCCACAGGGCCTGACGCGGGGCTTGAACTCACGAACCGTGAGATTATGACCTGAACCGAAGTCGGATGCTTAACTGACTGAGCCACCCAAGCACCTCTGTTCTTGCTTCTTAAGAGGCACGCCTAGATCACTGATTTTAAATTTTCTTTACTGTTGTTTTAATACAAGTATTTGAACTCTGTGGCTCCTTGCTTTGCACCACTTTTGAAGAATCTCATGCATTCTGATATGCTATGTCTTTATCACCCTTCAGTTACAAGTATTTTCTAATCTCCCTTTTGAATCCTTCATTAACCCATGAATTATTTGGAATTTTGCTGCTTAACTTTCAAATATTTGAATTTTTTTAGATGTCTTATTATTATTGATTCCCAATTCAATTCCATGGTAATCAGAGAATACACTCAGAGTGATTTCAATTCTCTCATATTACTGAGACTACTTTATGGCCTCGCATGTGGTCTCCAATGATTAGCGTTTCGTGTGTGGTGGGAAAAAACATATATTCGGAATTTGTAAGATGTAATTAATGCTCAGTAGGTCATGTTGGTGATAGTGTTGTTTGAATCTTCTATACCCTTATTGATTTTTGTTCATTTATTCTATCAGTTACTGAAAACAGGTGTGTCAAAATCTCCAATCATGATTTTTATTTATTTGTCCCTTTGATTCTACCAATCTTCCCATCATGAATTATGGAATTCTGTTACTAGGTGCATTGACAGTTAGGATTTGTTTGCCTTCTTTATGAATTGATCATTTTACCATTATGAAGTATTCCTGTGACTTACCATGCCCAGATCTCTCCAGTCCCTCTTTTATATCCGAGTTACAGTTGGTATTGTTTCTTTTTATCCTGAAAGACTGCCAGGTGCATTTCTTAGTCTACTGGCAACAAATCCTCTCAGCTCTCATTTATCAGAAAATATCTTTACTTGACCTTTAGTTCAGAAGGATAGTTTTGCTGGGTATTTCCAGCATTCTGTAGAATTTTAAGTCTACAGTTTTGTGTCTCAACACTGGAAAGATACCATTCCATTGACCTCTAGCTTACCTTTCTAGTGGGAAGGCAATACTCTTCTTACCTTTGTCCTCTACATACTGGCTTTTTGTCGTGACTGCTTTTAGGATTTTCTCTTTATTTTTGGTTTTCTGCATACTCGCTATGACATACGTGGGTGTGGTTTCCTTGGAAGGTATCCTGCTTGGGATTTACTAGGATTTTTGAATTTTGTGAACTCATATTCTTCCATCCACACTGGGGAAAATTTGACCATTATTCCTAAAAGCAGTGTTCTGCCTCTATCCAATTCTTATAACCCAAGTCAAAGATATTGTTCAGTTATTTTAGCTTTTCAGCCTTTTCCCCCAGTGTTTTCTTTCAGAAAATTTTATGACCCTTTCTTCCAGATCACTGACTCTTTCTTCTGCAGTGTTTATTCTGTTGGTAAGGTCCTCCAATATGCTTTTCTTTTTCCAGAACACATTCTGTGCATTATTAAAATTTTCATACATTCTATGAGATTCCCCATATGTTCACCCATTCTTTTTAGCTTGACTTATAAATTTCTAAATGCATATATGTATTTTGAATGGAAAAAGGCTTCATTTGGAAAAAGGCTTCATGTATTTTGAATGGAAAAAGGCAGTGACACAAGCCAAACATATTAATAATACTAATTTTAAGCTTCTTTTCTTCTGGTTTCAACATCTGGGTTATCAGTTGATCTGTTTCTTCTTATTATTATTTTTATGCATCTCAATTTCCTCACATACCTCATGATGTTTTATGACGTGCTAGACATTGTCCATAGACAATGTGGAGACTGAATTACTCAGTTCCTCTACTTTGTTTCTATTTCTTTTTCTAAATTTTTTTTAATGTTTATTTATTTTTGACAGAGAGACAGAGCATGAGCGGTGGAGGGACAGAGAGAGAGGGAGACACAGAATCTGAAGCAGGCTCCAGGCTCTGAGCTGTCAACATAGAGTCCGACGTGGGGCTCAAACTCACGAACTGTGAGATCCTGACCTGAGCGGAAGTTGGACGCTCAACCAACTGAACCACCCAGGCACCCCTCTGTTGCTTTTTTTAAATAACTTTTTAAATAACTCTGTTTTAACATTTATTTATTATTTTTGAGAGAGTGTGTGAGCAGGGGAGGGATAGAGAGAGAGGGAGACACAGAATCCAAAGCAGGCTCCAGGCTCTGAGCCATCAGCACAGAGCCCGATGCGGGGCTCAGATCCATGAACCGAGAGATCATGACCTAAGCCGAAGTCATATGTTTAACAAACTGAGCCACCCAGGCACACTTCTCCATTTTTATTTCCAAGACTGTGCAATCTCTTTCCAATACATGACTGCTAAAGCAAGGAGGTGATTACTCAGATTGCCCCAAGTATGAAATTAATCTTGGCTTAGGTGGCAGTTTTTAAAATTGACCTCATCTCTTAGTCTACCTCCTAGAGTCACAGCAGTTTCTGCCACGTCTGACTACTTTGGTCTCATCAGTGTTTGATCCTGGAACCTGGTGGGAGTTGAACGTGTTTCATTTTTTGAGTCCGTGGTAGAAAAGCCATCTGTTTCTAGAAATCGCAAGGACACATGAGGCCAGAGTCTTTTCTGCTTTACGGCCCCACCCACACTGTCCTTTTCTCAGCACAACATGAGTGGGAAGCCAGGGAGAATTGTTTAGTCAAGTAAATTATTGCTGCATTTCAGGGTCTCTGAAACCACTGACCCCAGCTCACCTCCACCACTCCCGGCTCATCTCTCTGAGGGCTGGCAGGCTTTCTCTTCCAATGTTGCCTCCATAGCTGTGTGTAAAGGGGGTTGGCAGGCTTTCTCCTCCAACGTTGCCTCCATAACTGTGCCTCTCTCTGGAAATCAGTCTGTTGGGGGTTTCCTTGTTTCTATCAATAGTTTCATAGATAAGTACAATTTTTATAATATCTGAAATTATTGGTGTTACTATGGAAACAAAGATCTTCCACATCCTTTCATATCCCAGCCAGAAAATTGCTTATTGTGTATAGATTATAGCCACTGCAAGGAAAACTATAGTTTCATCATTTTTTTCTCTAACTGATCTGGTTCTCCCCATACTTATCTCCTGCTTGGTGAAAAGAAAGGAAGAAAGAAAAGAACACAGTTATGTTTAAATCTCAGTGTGAGATCAAGGACTCCATTTTTCTTTCATGAGGCTAGTTGGTCCTACTGTGCAAACAGAACACAGACAGGACATATTCTTAGAGGCTGTGACACACAAAGGTCAGGATCTCTCTAACTCTACTTCTTCCAAAGCAAACAGACAGAGAAAATGTATGACAGATGAAAAGCCAACACAAGCAGAGCCTGGAGTTGTTGCAGCAGAAGAGGCAGAAACTGGGCTTCCAGGATGCCGAGGGGATGCCAGAGAAGTATATGGCTGACACCAGAAAAGCGGGAAATGGGGCAGTGGGGAACCAAGGGTGACAGGGTCCAGACTAGGGGTGCAGAAGCAGAGCAGGGCGTGGTATCCCTGGGATGAGCTCCAGAGGAAGTGTGCTGCAAGGAAGTGAAAACTGGGTCTGAAACACCCAATCTGAGGCCAGATCTCAATAGCGGTCCGGGCAAAGGCAAAGTGTCTTTGGAGAAAAGATTTCTTCAATTATGCTGGCCAAATTCACATAGATTAAAAACAATTATGACCTCAAAGAATACCAAGCCCTTATGCCAGTAGAAACACAAAACAATATAAGTCAATTGCCTAGGACTAAAATATTATGGTTGTTGGAATTGGAATGTGGAATTCTGAAAGACAACTGAGAATGTAATTACAAAGACAACTGTACATAAAAACCTATCAGAAGTGACCATGGGGGAGGGGAAGGAAAAAAAATAAGAGAGGGAGGGAGTCAAACCATAAGAGACTCTTAAAAACTGAGAACAAACTGAGGGTTGATGGGGGGTGGGAGGGAGGGTAGGGTGGGTGATGGGCATTGAGGAGGTCACCTGTTGGGATGAGCACTGGGTGTTGTATGGAAACCAATTTGACAACAAATCTCATATTTAAAAAAAAAGAAGCGACTATCTAGAAATTAAAGGTAAACTGATGATGTAATGAACTCCATGGATGTGTCAAAGAGCATAATAGATATAGCTGAGGAATGATTTAGAGGGAAGGAAGATACTTCTGAGGCACTTGTCCTGAATGCAGTAAAAAGATAAGGAATGGAAAAATACAAAAGAGAGGGTAAGAGATACAGAGGAGAAAAGATGAAAAAGAGAGAAGACAGCTTACAGGATTTATGGAACATGATCAAGCAGACTCATATACACGTTATGACGCGGGTCTCAGAAAGAGAGGAGAGAAAGGGGCGCCTGGGTGGCACAGTCGGTTAAGCGTCCGACTTCAGCCAGGTCACGATCTCACGGTCCGTGAGTTCAAGCCCCGCGTCGGGCTCTGGGCTGATGGCTCAGAGCCTGGAGCCTGTTTCCGATTCTGTGTCTCCCTCTCTCTCTGCCCCTCCCCCGTTCATGCTCTGTCTCTCTATGTCCCAAAAATAAATAAACGTTGAAAAGAAAAAAAAATTAAAAAAAAAAAAAA